GAACTATGAACAAAAAGTTCACAGAATGGTTTTCTCCCTCTGTAGCCCCTCTAAAAGCTGTTCTGGAGGTATGTAGAATGTAAAAATGGAGAGGAGTGCCACTTGAGGGAATATTAGCAGTCATTACTCCCTACCCTGGTGCAAAAGGTTTTCCAGAAACAGAGCTAAAATCATACAAGAACAGGAAAGGCAATTTCTGGTACACCTGCTTTGCATGCTAAAGGGCTAGGGTTGCCAGCCTCCAGGTACGGCCTGGGGATCTCCCTCTTTCACAACTGATCTCCAGCTGACAGAGATTAGCTCCCCTGGAGAAAACGGCTGCTTTGGAGGGTGGACTCTAGGGCATTGGACCATGCCGAGGCCCCTCCCCTCCCCAAACCCCGCCCACTCCTGGCTCCACCCCCAAAGTCTCCAGGTATTTTCCAACCCAGACCTGGCAACCCTATAAAGGGCCCAGGTTTCAGTTCCTGACTTCTTCAGTTGAAAAGATCAGGGAGGTGATACAAAAGACTCCAATAAAAACTTGCCTGTCAGACAAGACACTGTTGGTCTATATAGACCAACTGTTTTGACTCCGTATAGAGCAGCTTCAAGAAACATCCTCCTTATGAATGGAAGTCCTACATGCCACTGATCTGGTTGGGATCATTCAGCTACTCAGAACTGGACCTACTCCCCTTATAATCTATAGGGTTGGATCCAGACTAAATTTTCTGCTAGCAGAAGGGGTGGAGGTAATTTCCATTAACTCCGGCCCTTTCTGCACTCTCCTTTTAATTCATGTTCACTGCAGTGTCCTCCAAGCAATTCTTCACTAAAATCGAATTCAACCTTCTTTTTAATCCAGGTTTCCCCCCTTTCTGCACTAAAATCGAGTTCAAGCTTATTTTTATTCCGTTTTTCCCCCCATTCTGCATTATATTACCTCTCTTCAGTGGTCAGCCCGGTTTCAGCTGCCCTGGATTATTTGGATGCTGTTTTGCTGTGGACTTAAATTGCCTCGAACACTGAGAAAATCTGGAGTGGCAGGGAAATGCAGAAAGGACCTCCCTCTCCTTCTGCAACCCCCTTATATGCATCTCATACTGCTCTGGAGGGTCCTCTATCCCCCAGGAGCAGCATTTCGAGGAGATCAGTGGGAGAGGGGAGGTGTTCTGTTCTACTGACAGAAGTGCCTTGTATGAATGGAAGATTTAGTCTGGCTCCAACCCTTAGATTCCTAGACTTTGGACTGGAGGAAAGCCTCAGTGCCTTGACTTGAGGCAGGATTATCTCTTTAAAAGAGCATTTAAAAAAGTCAGTTGGGTGTGGTGGTTAAGAGTGGCAGACTCTAATCTGGAGAACTGGGTCTGATCCCCCACTCCTCCACATGCAATCAACTGGGTGACCTTGGGTCAATCACAGTTCTCTCAAGAGCAGTTGTCTGAGTTCACTTAGCCCCACCTACTTCACAAGGTGCCTGTTGTGGGGAGAGGAAAGGAAAGAGATTGTAAGCCGCTCCTTCGGGTAATGAAAAGCGGGGTATAAAAACCAACTCTTCTTCAGGTGCCAAAAAAGCCAGCTATTGAAATGTTAGCTATGCTTCTTGTATTTCTGACTTGATAATCTTGCAGTGATTGCAGCGATTGCATTTCTTTATACCCTTGTGAAGTCTTTCAACTAATGACACAGAACAGAACTGGCTATAGAGCAGTTTCCCTGCTCCAAAAGTCATTTCATACCATCATTAATTTCACAGGGATCCAGATAATATCTAATGGTAACAGCAAGATTATTTGTTACCAAAGAATGCTTTCATAAGAACATAAGAGAAGCCAATGTTGAATCAGGCCAATGGCCCATCCAGTCCAACACTCTGTCACACAGTGCCCAAAAATACCAGGTGCCATCAGGAGGTCCAGCAGTGGGGCCAGGACACTAGAAGCCCTCCCACTGTTGCCCCCCAAGCACCAAGAATAGAGTGCAACACTTGCCCCAGACTGAGAGTTCCTACCTATACCTTGTGGCTAATAGCTCATCTACATACACAGCCTCAAGGATCCATAGCCGCAATCATAGCTTTCATGAAGTTTGTATATCTTCATCCCAGCTTGTAAGTAATTCTTACTTGCAAAATATGTTCAAGATTTGTCAGCAGGTTAGAAGTAATATTTAAAATAGGCAGGCAAAAGAGTTTGGCTGATTTCAGGTTACAATAATACATGTAATTTGTTTATATAGATTCTTCCATGGCTAAGGATTTCTCTAACATTATGACTTAAGCAGCAATGATCGTGACAGTACTACTCTAGAATATTTTTGTTTAAAAAAAAAGGACAACTTTATTTTTCGTATGGTCATGTGGGTGCAACTTCTAAGACAAACAGGTTTCAAATCGAAGTCTGAACAAAGTTATACACACAACACTGCCATTCCGAAAAAAGGAGGGGGGGACAGAGGGAGAGGGGGGAGAGGGAGAATGGAGGGGGAAAGCTACAGAAATAAAAGACACACAAAGTGTGAGAAATAAGGAAGCTGACTTATGAACTCTTCTGACAACAAACATTTTCAAATATAAAAGTGGCATCAAATTAAAAGTTTTTTCAATGAATTATCTTTTTCTTGTCTCTTCTGTGCTTCATCCTGCCCACAACCTAACAAATCTTTTTAAAGTACAAAGTACACACCATCATGACCATAAAACAAATAATCATTCATTGCCTCAAACATGCAATTCATAAATACTGGCAGCATTAAACAAATAAAGGATATTGGCATTAATTCATAAATATAATTTAGATGCTGCAGAATAATTCCTCATTAGATCTCAGCATGCCCTAACAAACCTGATTGCTCATTATTAGGCTCTTTTCTGGGTAGCTTGAAACATAATGGCTGATGTGAATATTGAAATGTCATTGTATTATTTCAAGCAAATAATCAAATGAAACGATCTCACCCAACAGCATGGAACTACCATAACCACAAACAGAAAGCCCCAAACATTTTTCAAGGCTTTCAATAATATCCTCTCCACATACTCTCAATCCAAAGAGTGCCAGTATGAAGTAAAACTATTTATTTATTTATATTATTTATAGTCCACCTTTCTTACTGGAACTCAAGGCGGTTTACACATAGTGATTCAATATAATCAACAAGATGGGACATTCAATGAACAATGCAATAGGATTAGGGTTGTATTGCCAACCAAAAATCAAAAAAAAAAAAAAAGGAACTAAAGCAAAGCATAAAAGTTAACATGACACATTAAAACAGATATGTCAGACATATGGCCCGGAGGCTGGAACCAGCTCGTCTAGGGCTCTTATCCAGCCTGTAAGCAACTGGGTGGAAACCAGTCTGAATGTGGACCAGAAGGGCCTATATTAGGGTACTACACCCCCTGCTGAGGTCCCTCCCTTCCCCAAACACAGGCCCTCCCCAGGGTCTTCCCCCAGTTCTCCAGGGATTGCCCAGTCCAGAGTTGGCAACCATAAGGGACAAGAGGGCTGGTTTGGCCCCGAGCTCTGCTGAGGCAGGATATAGGTCACAGTCAGTGGTAAAATATCTCCAGTACCTGGCACTACATTTTATGGCACACATGGCCCGACCTGACATAGAGACATTTATGTCAGATCTGGCCCTTGGTTTGGCCCCGAGCTCTGCTGAGGCAGGATATAGGTCACAGTCAGTGGTAAAATATCTCCAGTACCTGGCACTACATTTTATGGCACACATGGCCCGACCTGACATAGAGACATTTATGTCAGATCTGGCCCTCATAACAAATGAGTTCAACACCTCTGCAAATGATGAAAAATTACATAGTAGGTTCCTATTTACAGCAAGCTCTAGGGAGTATTTATGGACCACATTACGTAATCATTTCTCTAAGTAACTTTGTAAATCATGTTATACAGTGCATTCCTATTGCCTGCATTAAAAAGCTCTCTTGAATAACTGAGTTCCGCACAGTTTGTGTCAAGCAAGGAGAGTGGGAGCCTTCCTGACTTCCACAATGGAGAAGGCACATGTACATAAAATTTTTGATTTTGCCCATTTGCAGGTTGGCACCTGCAGAAGGCCCTGCTCAAATGAGCAAAGCAGAGCATGAAGCAG